AGGACTAAGAGATGTGGATAACATTCTTGGATTTACTACAGAAGCCCTTTCTTAGCAAATCCCATGGTAATTTCCTGCTAACAGCATGGGAACCAAAGGTCTGGGATTTTACTCTTCTCTTTGTCTTCAGCTTCCTGAGGAAATGTAGACAAGTGACTTACCCTTTGTCCCCATTTCTGTTCTTTAACATGAACTTACTGACTACTCCCCCAATCAAGTTTGCAATATCCTATGCATTGTTTCAAAGAAATTTCTCCAACAAGAAGAAAACTCTACAGCATGAAAGATCATTATTGGTAATCATGTTACCATCCCTGTGAGAAGCACCGGGACTGAATGAACAGCGTGTGCTGCTGAAACCTGAAGTCAACAAGTGAACATTTCACTCTGAGAGATATTTTGGGATGTTTCGAGAACATGTCACCAGGAAGTTGCATTCAGCTTTATCTGGTTTCTCCGCCCCAACCTCTATCCTACTATTCCAGATGCATTTTAAATGTGGGCAAAGGTAATGTGCAGATTTGGATTTGGGAGCCAAATATGGAGAAGTCAGCAAATGGGCAGAAATAAGAATATTTTAAAAGTTGTAAGCATCATTTTGCATCACCTACAACCCTCATAGTACATAAATAAGAAAAAACCCGAACCCTAAATGTCTTAGCTAATTTAATAAAAGGTCTTGGTTTTCTTCTAGGTTATTTATTTAATGGAAATATGTGCATTTTAGTGAAATTTTTCACTGTATTCTTTTTCCTCTCCATTAAATCCTGAAATCAGGTTGCAAAAAAACCCAACACAGGCTTATTTAGATTATTAGTGGCTACTCTATAGAGATCCAGACTGAGAAGAGCAAGGACACTGTTTCCTCCTGCAAGGAATAAGGGCTGCAATTTTTTTCTTTCAGCTGATCACATAAAAATTAAATGATTTTTTTTCCCTGAGCCAATAGTAACATGTTAGTGTTAACAGACAGAAATCATAGTAATTGGAACAAGTCGGATGCCCTGTTGAGGTCTGTGGCTAGTAGAATTTTCCAAATCTTTAGAAAAAACACTTAGTGGCTCTTAATGGAAAAACGGATATTCTTTGCAGATGGCATGAAGTTCTGAATGCTTGCTGATATATACTCTGAACCATCCAAAACTCTGAGCCACACAAAGATATGAGGCAATAACACTCTACACACAGTGGCTTCCCTGTCCCAAAGAGATTGGCAGGGATGAGGAACAGGCTCATCTGAGCAAGCAATAAGACTCACAACTTCATGGCTACAGCCAGAAACTGAAGCACTGGAGATTGTGCCCTGGTCCAGCTGAGTTCCTGAGAGCAAAAACCAAACCATCCTTTCAAACAGCAGTCACCCTGTCCCACCCCAATGCCCTACACAAAGGGCAGTGGGAATAGCAGGAAAGCCAGAAGAACCCTGCCCAGAGCTTCATCCCAAAAGTCCTCAAGGAGAAATTAGTGCTCCCTTCAAACGGGGAAAGTACCCAGACAACAAATTGGTAGTCCTTGTATGGTGGAAACTGAAATAGAAGTCTCTTGCCCTTGCTCTACAAAGACCAGAGCTATCATTTAACTAATTGAAAGTCTCCTCAAAGCTACTCATTCGATTTTATTATGCTTTGATTGTTCTGTAGCAAGTTTGACAACAAGGGCACTTTGCAGGCCTGTGTGTACAGCACGTGTAATTAAAGTCAACAGGACTTATGAAATCTTTAAAACTGAGCCAGGGTGGCTAAAGCCAGTCACCCCAAATTAGAAGCAATGTTTGAAAATCCAGGTCACGTTCTCTGTGGGTTTGTGTTACAGCATCCCCTAGGGGCTGCAACTGAGATTAATGCCTACTGATCCTGGACTTTACAGGGTACAGACAGACTTGGATGCTTCCAATGTCTAGATGCACAGTAATCTTTGTCACAGAGACTACAGTGAACCAGGCCTTGAGAATTTTGATGAGAAAGTTCATCTGGTAGATTTATATATATATATACAAACACACACAAGTATTTTATGTATTTTTTTAAGCAAGAACCACTGAAATACTGAACTGGAGGGCACAGCAATTGTAGAACATACTTGGATCACAGCCATAGGAATGCTACTGCTGTAAATTCCCCTACTCTAAAAACATTAAATAAGCCATCCAGTTATTTCATGATCATCAGCAAACTGAGATCCTCAAAAACGAAGAAAATTAAGCCCATGTGTATCCTTAGTATAGTCTGGCAATTACATTGTTGCTGATTATAGGAATCTAATGTTTACAATTTGCATTCTTTCCCACATTTTCTTTTTTTTCTGCATTGAAGTAAAAACTCACTTGGTCTTACCATAGTATAATTTAGACTATTGAGGGCAGGACTACTCCTCTGTGAGAGAAACAAAATCCAAGGATGAGACCAATTCTGGACTTTCGTTGAGAGATGATGGAAACACAAGAAGATACAGTCCAAATTAAAGACACAGGAAGGAGCTGGAAATAAAAATTGATATCCAAAATTTCAAAAGTCCTTTGAGATAACCATGACTTGGACTCATCTTTAGAGTATGAGGGAACTTGATGAATTTTCCTGAGCAGTTCTCCAAAGTGAACAGAGAGGTGAAAAACACACTACAGACTTGTGCAGAATCTGCTCTTCATGATGTTCTGGAAATGTACAGTAAACTGTATATTGCCAAAAGCAACAGCGGGTCTAGAATTGTCCAGAAACAAGAATAATAAAATAAAAAGTACTTTCTCCAGACCCAAACTGGGTTTCTAGAGCCAGCCTTGTTGTTTATACATAGAACTCTCACATACAGGCAGGTCATTAGCTTGACTGGTACCATATAAAATGTAAGCAAGCCTGAAAACCTACTCACTATCTTCACACTGTCAATGGTAAGCTCTCTGGTCCCAGATGTGCTCAGAAGTCTGAAAGGTGTATCACTTACTCCAAAAAAACCTGGGAGCAGCAGAGCTTGATTATCGACTGGCTTCAGAAGGGGCTCGTGCACATGAAACCAGCACAGGGGAAGGCACCTCAGGTGCACCTGCAGTCACAGACACAGCTCTGCTAGATGAGTGAGCAGGCATAAAGATAACAGACCATGCAGCTTGTTGGGCATAAGCCACGAGTCTGGTTGTTTTTGTGCTTTTCAGCCCAGTGTATGAAGAGCTTGTGTTTTTTCAGTTCCACTTTCTTTAAGTAACGATGTACATCCCCAATTCCTGACCAGCCATTCAAAAGCAAATGCAAAGTGAGTAAGGGGGGCAGGTGTTTGTTCAAAACACATTTCCACTTTAAGGGAACTACCTTAATTTGCTGAATTAGGACCCGGCCCTGACAGGGCTCCAGAAAACAGAACTATGTGGTATACATAAGGCAGCAGATCAGACCTGCAGGGAGAGGGAGCCAGAGTACTGCAGGAGGTATTTTGAGCATACAAGGCTTAAAAGCAGCTCAGAAACCTCTGGTTAAACCTAATCATGTAGTCCTTATAGCGCTCCAGCATATACCAGTGGGAACACAGTGGCACAGGAGAGTTCTTAGGCCTCTGCACATGTTAGTAGGATGTAGCTGAATGTGAGCAGACACCAAAGTAAGCATGGACACCAAAACCTACTTCAATCACTACGACGCCAGTTTTTGGCTCTGGCTTCCAGTCTGTGCCAAATCACATGATCTAAATAGCATGCAAGTTGTGTCACAGGGCAACCGAGCAGAAATTGAAGCCATCTGGCCCATTTGACCCTATCCTGACACTGCTCATTAGAGCTCCACCCACAACAGCAACTACCAAGACACACAACAAAGATTGATCCTTCAAATATAGTAGAGCCCAATGCTTACAAAGGAGCACATTTTTCAAGTGGAAGCAGAGGGGCAGGTATCAATCTCTTCACCCTCATGATCAGTGATAGGACTCAAGGAAATGGCATGAAGCTGAGTCAGGGGAGGTTTAGGTTGGATATCAGGAACAGAGGGTGGCTGGGCACTGGAACAGGTTCCCAGAGTAGTGGTTACAGAACCAAGCCTGACAAAGCTCAAGAGGTGTCTGGACAATACTCTCGGGCACATGGTGTGATTCTTGGGCCGTCCTGCACAGGACCAGGAGTTGGATTCGATCTTGATGGGTCCCTTCCAACTCAGTATATTCTATGACTCAATGTAGTAAGCAGTGTTCTGTGAGAGGGGTGGCTTTTAAAAATTGTTTAATCAGGTATTTTCCCACCCTTCAGAAGAGATTTACAAGCTGAACAATTGCCTCTTAGCTGTTTTTCCCAGGGAATGAACAAGGTTAAGTTCTCGCTCTTCCTGATTTTACTACAACCTCAGAATTTATGGGCTCTCTATACATCAGTATTCAAAAAGATAAGTCACGTTGAAGAAAAGCCCTTCCCAGAAAGGCAGAAAGTCCCAGTATTCAATGTCAGTATAGAGAAGGAACTGAGGAAGAAAGGGAAAGCTATGCTGCTTTACAGACTAGACAACAGGCTAGTGCCAACAGCAGAGGAGCAATCACCAGTTCACAATAGGTTTTAGGTATTAAAAAACTTGGAAATTGCTGTTGTGGAAACTGTGCTAGCAGTAAAAACCAAGGCAAAGTGTTTCTGAGACTCAATGACACCTTTATATTGGCAAAAGTTTACTTTCCACTAGCCTGTCTTACAGGTCCTTCTACAAGAGGTCTCATTTCATTTTTGAAGGTCTGCCATGAGATCATCTTGCAACTCAGCTCTCCCATGCAATAGTAAAACAAATCCAGAAAGAATAATTAAGACAAGAACTTACCCTGTATACTAGAAAGACTTCAGAAGGGGTAACATACCTGTTCATATTATCAGATCTGCTGCTCCAAAATAATAAATTACAGCAAAACTTTAGAGTTTACTGTAAGCTGCTCAAGAACCACTGCATTTGTCAGAATGCATTTACTTAGAATAAAACATAATGGCTTCTAAAAGCAGTATGTAATCATTTCCTATGCCTTATACGTACAGACAAACACACATATTGGTGACATGGGTTGATTTACTCAATTATTGCAAAATACAGTACTTTGCAATCAATACAGAGCAACTCTATTCAAAAACTACTAAATATGTGGCAATATCTGTATCCTCTTACGATAACAAAGTAAAAAATATTAAAATTTTAACAGCTGGAACATGAAATGATAATCTTCACAGCAGAGTAACAAAAGAACTGGTTGAAATCACACTCCAAACATTTAATTAGATGCGGTGTATGATCCACGCAGCAACTTTAATACTGGAATTCAGTACTCAAGGCTAGCTCTAGTTCACTGTACACCTGCACTTTAAAGCTTTCCATTTTTATTTAATCCACTACTTAAAGTTCTTGCCACTACCCTCTGCTTACACCACCCTGCCTTGAATTAGCCTCCCTTCAATGACTGACACTACTGATGGTCAGCCTCTGGAGAGCCAATTCAGATCTCTCCATAGCAGCAGGAGAGATCACTAGAGGACAGAGAAAGGAAAGAATGCCAGAAGCAGGAAAGTAGGAATGAGTGGCTGTGACAGAACAAGTAGTTGAAAACAGGACAGTGCATCCATGACTGCTACAAAATACTGTTTAAGCAGCAGAACTCATACATGGATGCTTGTTGCTAAACAGCTCAGTGATTTGTCATTACAGGTGTTACACACATACAGAATTCAGCAGCAGCACAGTAACTGATAAAATTGAGATCACTAATTTCACAGCAGTGATCAAAAGCACCTTTCTAATGCCTTCCAGTGCAAAGCTCACATCCAAAATGATGGGCTGAAAATACATTTGTCAGTCAGTGGAGGACTTGTGACAAGAACCGCTGATAGAGGAGACAAAGTGACATTTTCCAAGCAGCACTTGAATAGTTTACTTAAGTTTCACCTCTCCCTAGCCATCCCTCTTTTAAAATAAAAATAAAACAAAACAACAACAAACCCCCAAACCAAACCAACTAAAAAAAAAAAACCGAAACAAAAAACTCCCACAACCACGAAACCAAAAAAAACCAATCAAACACAAAAAAATTAAAGTAAAAAGACTTCATTGGAAATATCTTTAAAGGTGTTGTCAAACAACATTTCTTCAAGGCCAAGCTGTTACAACAGTATACGGAAGTCAGCTTCCAACAAGATGACACTTCATATTGATCTTTCCAATATTTTTAGGGTGCAGTTCAGCAGTGTGAGCACCAGGTCTGCATTTACAAAATATGCGTTTGTCCCCACAGGCAAGTAAATATGGTACTTCAGCATGTGCTTACACATGTAAGCTTTGTATACATAGTTGGTGTGTATACACCTTGCAAGTACAAAACAGGCTCTCACCTTTGAAAACCACAGTACTTAAAATATCTAAACCATTAGACTTCAAATCTCTTGCTTTGGTATTGAATCAATAGAAAATTTACAATGCCATTTTTCAGTCTTACACAGACTGAGTTATTAGCCAAGGAAATAAAAAAGTAACAAGTCTCAGTATCCAAAGAAATCTACAAATACATTCATCCATATGTAATACATTACGAACAGGAAGGCAATATGTGGAATTCTTATAGCATGAATGAAAACCATGTAGTTGTAGAAGAGCCCGAAAATCTTCCTTACATTTTTCCCATGTAACAGTTAATGTCACTGTAGCAATGATGATATTGCAGCTTCTACTGTGTTACTTCCCAAGTTGTACACTTATGTTTGATTGAAGAGCAGGGTGGGAAATGAAAGGCCTCTGAGGAGTTCAGCAGCAACACGTAAGTGCATTGAAAACATTGATAATCTACGGCACGTAGGAATTGATGGATTACAGAGGATACTTTTTTCTATTTACAGTATCATACACTTGTACAAACTCTCTGCTGCATCTTTTTTTTTTTAGTACTTAGCCTGTGGCAAATCACAGTAATATTATTCAAAGAAAAAGGAAATCTCATTTTCTTATAAAAATTAAGCAACTTAAGCTATCTACCCCTCTGAACACCTTGAATCCTAAAATTTAATTGGCACAAAAACATTTGGATAACTTAATACAGGAACTGATTGCTCATGATTGTTTACCTCTTGACTTAATAATTACATTCACTGCTGGAGATTTATCCACTGTCAGATGTCAGAATTAATACATTTAAAAAAAAACAAACAAGGCAACAGAACAACACCCAGACAAAAAGTAAACCTCACACAGCCCTCAGAAAAAAAAAACCAAAACTGCAAGAAAAAACAACTTTGCTGCTGGGTGTCTGATGCATGATAGGAAATACCAAAGCAATGGGGTATATCACAGTAACATCATGCTGCCTCTCAGACACCAAAGACTACAGCAAATCTTCACGTGTAATTATGGAGATGGTAAGCAACTCTGCTTCAGGGAAAGACTGCCTTATCACCAAGCTCAGCAGGGCATCTGAGCCTTCAAAGCAGTTTTGGTATCAGTCTGAAAACAATGGGATTTCTGGTTCCAGCTGAGATGGAGGCAAATTAGAAGGGAGTGGGAAGGACCACTGTACACAATGTGGCACAGCTGAGAAAATGACATATTTACACCTGAAAATGCAAAACACATTGCAGTAAAGGAGGAAAAACAATGAAATAACAGGACATCTGTCTCTGAGGACAGGAGGCATGTCCCTCTACTATGGAGCAGGTTTGTATATATGTATTTTAAAAATTCAAAAGAAATTGAGCATGTATCAATGAAGCAGGACAGTATAGAACAAAAAAACTGTCAGAAGATCAATGTCACATGATCTTCTGGACTCATTTTCCTTGCTGGTAAAACCCTGACACCAGGTCTAAAGAGCCTTTAAGCAAAAGCAAGCAGTACTAACTGTTGTATAGAACAAGTAACTGCTTTTACTAACTGTTGTATGGAGAAGTTTTGTTGTGAGACTCAGAAAGAAGGGCAGAGTTGCTTTTAGTCAAAGGATTGCATACTCTTGTAGAAAACAACAAATACAGTAAACCAAAACAAACAAACAAAAATCCAACCGTGACCATTATCAGTTTACTAACCTTTGTGTTTAAGTCCTCAACTAAGATATTAAAAATGCACTTGCAATATCTGAACGCAAAACAGGGTGTACCTACTATGACAAAAGCACACTTTTTTCCAGCATACCCTTCATGAGCTTTTGGTGCCACATGCTGAAGAAACTAGATTTATATCAGTGAATGGCAAGTGTCAGCAGGCAATTATCTGCACTACACTGGTGGCTCCATCTTCATCATCCTTTTCTTCCATTCTTCTTCATCCTATTTTAAACTTTTTAATTTAAAAATCCACCTTCCATTTGGCAATTCAGAGCCAGGTCTGATCTTCATGACCTCTGGTCACACTGTAAGATGTCTTTAGAGACCACTCTTATTTCTTGCCAACTCCATTTGATAGTTTTGATTTGGAGTGCCGATTCCTCCTTCTAGATGAGTGGCTTTCACTATTGACTGAATGTTTTGGTGGACTATTGTCAGCACCTGCTGAGAAATAAATATTTTTTTATTATATATAGTTGACATTGTCAGGTTCTTGTCTGAAAGACAGTAAGGCTTTTGAGAGCTACAGTGTTTACAACAGTATGGATTATTTCAGGCTAAACTGGTTGATACTTGTACTCCATCTAGTGGCCTATATTTTTTTTTTAAAAAGCAATTCTCAAGACTCCTGTAAAATTCTTCCTCCACCAAAAAAAAATAAAATCAGAAGTTTGCTATAGCAAAATATAGTGGTGAAATATTTTCCATTTAAAATCACATCAATAATTAAACTTCCACATTTTTCTTAGTGGCAGGTACTACTATTAGAAATTAAGAACTACGTGAACGAGGTCACAGATCCTTGCAAGAGTACATTTCAGGTTTTCATATGACAGGCCATGTTTGACACTGAGAAAACAGAAGGGACCAAAAGAAGAAATGACGACAAAATGTGAAAGAGGCTTAAGTGTGTAATTCAGAGGTCAGAGAAAAAGACTTGCTTGGCCAGATTTCTCCAGCATACATACACGGGAAAAACATTTTGAGTGCAAGTAATTTTTCTCCAAAATATAAAAGTCCATACATCTACTTAACTGAGAATAAACATCCAGAAAAATCACGTATGAAATATAAAGAAGCTCTGCTGTAGGTGCTTTGCAAGCATGTGATAAATAAGAAATATTTTTAACGATACAAACATTTGGAGCATAAACTCTGACAGAGACAACTTCCAGGTGTGAATAAGCATGACCACGCTAAAGAGCCAATGGAGGAGGCAGATAACTGACCTCTAGCATAGGGAAAAGAAGTCAAAAGGAGGCTGCCTTTGCTTAGTACAGAGAAAGCTGTTTATGACCATTAGCACTGCACTGACTAGGCAAGTGTCAGTAAGAACACAAGCTCCTGGGCACATTCTTGACTGTTTCTTAACAAGCAGAAATAAAAGCACAATTCACATTAATATGTTTCAAATAAAACACAAAATGTTCAGAGAGAAAACCTGTCCAAAACAGTTATGAAATGCATAATGCCCAAAACATACAAGAATGACCTGGAGTAACAGCAGAAAAATTCAGTTGATTCATTAAAAAATAAATACTTTTCCAAGAGTTAGAATAAAAAAGGCAGTAAAGCAAAATAGCTTTGCAGATGATTTATCCACATAGCTCCTGCAGGGATATTAAATAAGTCCAGCTGTTTGCTAGCTAAGTTTCTCAAGCCTCATTTTCTAGTGTTGAGCCTTAATGTTACCATTTCAAGAATAGAGCTACAAAAGTGCCAATACCTGTGGTGAATTTAGAATGAAGCCAGGAAGCATCTGGACTGTATGGACTGTCTTCACTTTCTGACAAGGTCTGCAAAATCAAGGACACGTCATTGGGATGCTGGTGATTCTTGTGATCAGTATTGGACTTGTAAACTTAAACTGTGGCAGAAGTCCTCATAAAGCATTCATACAGTACTTAAGAGTTTTCCCTTCCTAGTTAGAAGGTACAACATAAATGATACAATAAGAACTCACCACTTGCCACGTGATATGTTGTGTAACCAAGTATTCTTAATATTCCCCTAGCATTCCACCTGTACAATGGGAACATTAGCTAACCATTCATCCTTGAACGCTTTGCTAAAATTACAGCCTCATTTTGAGCAACTAAGAGGACAGCATTCTTTAGAAACCACAGTGTAATTTGGGATCTGTCCAAGGCCTGCTGAATTCAGAGCTCTTTCTATTGACTTCAGTTAGACTCTGGACCATCCCCCCTCATCCCCATTTATACTAGCTCTGGTAAAGAATTCTAATATCTAGGAGCTTTGCAGTTTTAACTGTTATAAAACAAAACCAGGTTTCTTTAATTTAAGTACCTTTTCTCGGTGGCCGTAGTACTCTGCGTACCAAACCATGCCATACAGACAAAGGAAAGTTGTAAAGGCCTAAACAAGGGAGGAGAAGAAAAAAATAATAATCTGTAAAACTTTTTCAAAATTTCTTGCTGGTTCAAGGTCTCAGAGTCCCTGGAGATTTCACATTTAGATTTCATGCTCTGTTTCTCCCTGTATCTTTTGTCAGATGAGTAGAGACTCGTGCTTTAACTTCAAGGTACCCATGGATTCTACCACCATGGGGTATGCAGACCAATTCTCAACGGGAGCATGAAAATACATACAGATCACCCACAGTGCCAGCACGGTTTCTGTCCACAACCTGACAAAAGGAGTCAGTAGGCACTTGTACTTATGTTATCAAGAACAACCAGTCTAGGAGAAAAACGAGTTCTCCTTCTCCCTGCCCCATACTTCAGGCTAGGCTGCATGTTTGTTTTTGTGGTGCTCTGATCCAGGAAACAATGCAATACTTTTCTCTTCTGAAGCTTCAGGAATAAAATTAACACACTAAATAAGAGAACAATAAGTTCTGACTCCCCATCACCTGTTCAAACTGTGTTCCCAACTAGAAGGGAGAAGTATTTATCTGTCAGCCCATTATAAATGCCTTATTCTTCACTGACCATGAAAAATGCGTTTGGCATCAGAGTTACAAGTCTGGCAAGGCAAACACCCATTTACTGTTATAAAATGGGCATTTCATGCTGCATTTGCAGTAATCACACTGAAGTACAGAAAGTTACAGGCTGAGTGTGAATGATTTGCCTAATAGAGCACGGTTGTTTATGTAGTTGTAAGACTTCAGTGTGACACAACACACATTACTTATTAGCACTATCCATTAACTCCTGTTCACTTCCAACAGGCACTACAGCAAGCACCACCAAAGTTAGGCTCAGTCAAATTGACACCTTCTCTCGTTAGGATAAAGCACCCTAAAACTAGTGTTTTTTTCATTGTCAAGCACCAGTAAAGTCGCTATACTTTGCTATTTATAGATACAAGAAAATAAGTTATTCTAGTCCCTTCAAAGTGAGCTCTAAGCAATCTAGCATTTGCTTTTCCTAGGACGTGTACAAAGCTCTTTACCAGCATTTCCCCACAATGATCCCCTGCTGCCAATGTTCCAGAGGAAGCTATTTAGATGCTTTCAATGCTTTTCTCATGCTTTAGGTTTCACATGAGAAATCTCACTTACCACACAGAGAAGCCAAAACACAACATAAAGTATTTGTGTTTTGGAAAAAAGATCTTGTCCAAACTTTATACACACAATAGCTTCAAGGAAAGCAATAGCCCTGTGGATAAATGAAAAAGGGGGGAGAGTGGTTACAAACACTAAGGATTTAACTCACGTGATCACAACCCAAATCCCAGACTGTCAGCCCTAAACAAGCACTACCCTCTAGTGAGCACACACCTCCCTGACACCACCATTAACTGAAATTCTTTGAGAAATTTCTTTTTCTTTCTATACTTTTTTCAGCATAAACAGCACACACAAAGTGGTAGTTTACTGTTCCGTGGGGCTCCAGGGAACAAGCAGGAGTGTGTGCCAATAGGAGAGAATTTTTGTTTGTACCTACCACTATGCTTCAGCTCTCATCAGATATAAATTTCTTTTCTATGCTGAACAACCAACAGACTCCCTTGTTGGATGAACCAGAATATGCTTTGTGTATTTCTCTACTGGATGTAAATTTACTACAATTCTAAACTGTATACTTTGCTTGCCTCACATGGATTTTAATGAGAAAATTCATAAGAAACAGCATTTCAAATTCTTTGAGAATTCACGCATTTGCTATGTTCATCTGTAAACTCAGGTCCACACTACAGCATCAGAGGATTTGGGGGAGAATTGCGAGAGGAAAAAAAAATTCAGTTTTTACTTTCCTCTCTGACAATGAAAGAATCAAAAAAGTGTCTCCATCTCTCTCCCTGCCACCACTCCTTTTCAGGTTCAAAGCTATGGAGGCTTGTCCACCACTTGGCATGGAACATGGGGTTATGAATCCAAAGCTTCCATCCCCTGCCATGGAAATACATTTAGTTTGTATAGGTCCTGAATACAAAATCAGATATGTTTAACAAATACAAGAGTAGAAACATGACTGGTGCAGCAGAAGTGTAGAAAAATTACTTGTCTTAATCTGAAGCAAATTATGAAAACCACTATTAAATTCATAGAAGTTTAATACTTGTTCAACAGAGACTTCAAGGTTGTACACATGAGCAATGCACGAAAACTCCTCCTGTGCAGACACACTTAACATCATGTGAAGTGTTCCAGTCTGCCAAGCTTGATACTGCAGGACATATTTCCTATCAGCACTCTCCAAAACCAGGGAGTTCCCAAAAATGGCACTACTACCTGTCCAAGAAGACCCAGTTTCCTCTGATCAAAGAAGGAGGAAAGACATGTGCTTGACTAAACCACTGGTATTGCAGACATGATCCTGGTGCACATAATAAATGACAGCTTTCTCTGTACTATTTAATGTGACTTGCAGCATGACGAGTGGGGCCAAAACTTACAACTGTGGAAGTAACACCCAACTGATTAATACTAAAAATTAATGAGGTGCATTTTACTAAAAAATTGAGACCAGTGTTACTCTGCTGGGTTATCAACTATTTTTCTTTCTTGGTTTTATATTATTCTTACTGATTCAGCTGCAGAGTAAAAAAATCATTAAACCATACTACAGCAGTAGGAACAGAAAGACCATCATCAGAAAAATAGTGTGGAACAAAGGAAACAAACATGGAGTTGCAATATACTCAAAGGTATAAACAAAACAATAGACTACTTTCAATAACAACTCAAAAAACAACACAGCTGTTTGTCTGGCATTTATACCTTCTTTCGGTTATTCCCGTCAAGAATACTTGAGTTAAGCACACTGTACAATAGGACAACTATTACAGTTTATGAAGTGGTAAAACAAAAGACAGAAGAATGCTAACAGTGAAAGGTGTTAGTGTCCTGCTGAAGGGTGATAAGACTACTCATTAGAACTAAAGACAGTAAGTTTTTATTCAATCAAAATGGTCTTGCAACATCCTAACAGATATTCCTTTTTGGAAGGCTCCATCTTAATGAAAATGGTGCAATTCCAGTGGGGCTGTTGCATTGACCTTCTTCATACCTTACATTGCTTATCAAGAGTGATGCTTTAGTATATGTCAAGTTGAAAAGAAACAGTTTTGTGCTAATGAAAGGCACTAAATTTAATTATTTCCATGGTTAGGCTGTTAAGAATTCCATTTCTGCCTTTAGAAGTGTGTCTTGGTCACCACATATACAAATATTCTATATATTTGCTTTGAATTGCTTCAGAAATTATATTCCAGATAATTAAATTACTGGGAAATTATTACAGAAGCAAGCAGTATCAAGGAGAATACTTATTCCACACACATTTCCCACTAGTAGATCAGACTGTAGGTGAATATTCTATTGTGGTTCTTATGTGATCGTACAGACATGTTTTTGGGCATCTGTGTATTGACATATATGACATTAATGTGTTCAGTGAGAGCTTTGAACTGAGGATGATGGTTTCTGTAATCCTTAACAACTTTTCAGAGCCAGAAGGCAAACATTCAACATTGTATCTCCCTTCAGTTTACAAAAGAATATGTTTACATTCTTTCCTTTGGATGAAATAGAAGTTCATCTTCCTTTCTTTTTAATGAAGAACTTGAAAATTCTTCCCCCAGGATGATAACATTGTTTAAAATGTGTCTTCTATAAGACTCTAAAATTACCATATATAGTTGAGAAAATGTCCTTTCCCACATAAACATCTCAATTTCTAAATAATTTAAATACATAATTCAGTGCCCTCTGTATTCAAATGCATATCTGCAAAATATTAATACAGTTGATCAGTAACTGCTAAGATACTCATACACAAACAGAGAAATTCTAATGGTATATTAAGTAGTCATATTAATTGTGTGATTAATTAGTTATCTTCAGTACTAAATCTGAACAAGAACAGAATTACTACCTTTTCTATGTCCATTGGATGTTACAGTCATGAGTTGAAGACAGTTGATCACATTCTATGATCCATCCACGAATCATAGAATCATAGAATCATCAAGGTTGGAAGAGACCTTTAAGATCATCCAGTCCAACCATCAATGAAGAAGGAAGGTGATAAATCAGTGAAAGAGGTGATTATTTAAGGCCAGACAAGCCCAAGGAGATATGGTATGGTCTCCAGAGTACATTTAAAACAAGACTAGAAATTCCTTCCATTACATTGCAGCAAGTTGTGCTCTGAACTCAATTAAATGTTGAGAAAGGGGCACTCTTTAGACTGCTGTAGCGCACATGGAAACACACCTTCCAGCCTAACACTGTTCCTAAAACTAACATCCCTAAGACTAACAGTAAAGGCAAGATAAGTTTGCCAAAGCACTGTTTCTAAATTAGATATGAGTATTTTATGGCTCACTGAAACGCTATTCCAATTTAAAACAGTAATAGACTCTTCTATAAAACGTGAAAATCGTTCAGACAACTCTAGAAGTAAGATATACACTAATCCTGACAAAGAGAATGAAATGGCTGTTTTCAATCAAAATAATTACCATCAGAAATTACCTTCTTGAATAGTTTCTTAATTTTTCTTTTTTCTTTAAGATATGATTTAGGATCTTTCCAAGTCCTAAATCAAAAGGGACACTACTACTTTGCTTGTTTACTAGAAGCTTTTACAATGCTTCAGGTTTTCAGAACGGTTTAGTCAAGCCATCTAGTGAAGGAAGTTCTCACCAGAAGCAATCATGCAAACTCTTCACTTAAAAATCTACTCCAAGAGACAAAGAGATTGTAGCCAAGGTAACCATTGCTCATAACACCATTCCATAGAAATAGTTGGTAACTGTGGTTTCTTTCACTGTCTTCTGCTGTGATTCTGCTGACTGCAGCAATGCCCACTTTGACAGCCTGGGAAACATTACTCTTACAACCAGCTGTAGAGGCAAAAGCTTTATCCTTCTCACCTGACTGAGAATATGGGTAGCAAGGCCAATGCTACTCTGAAGGAGCTCCTAGCTTTATCCAGTCTTCCTTCTGTTCTTCTCCTTACTCATTCCATCACTTTCCATGTTCTACCTCCAAATTCATAATTTTCCTTTCCTCTGAACTTGCAAAATTAAAACCAACACAAGACAAGGACTGTCTTCATGGAAAGCCTGTTCCTGTGCTGGACCCATACTTAGCTCTTATCCAAGTGCTCCAAGAATGCAGCAAGAACACTTACCCGAACACCCAGCACTGAGTTCCCACCCTCTTGCACTGTGTATCTGTGAGGTACGCATAGTATTGCCTGAGGAGGGAAGCAAGAAAATTCTTCAGTACAGTTGAAAGTCACAGAGTCATTACACTTAGAAAACAACTTTATGTTACAGATGTATCTATACTGAAAATGAAGTGCTGATGGTTAAATTCACATGCAATCATTTTGGATGTCTACCAGATGGCTTCATTTCCAGTGGGACAGATTATCACACAGATCAAATAGCTTGAAACAACGCAGAAAATAACCCTGAGACTGAGGACTGGGAAAGTCCCCAAACTAGTAGGCTAACAAAGCAACAAATTTGTCTCCTGCTTCTCCAGCGAATTTCCAGTTCTTATGGGCAAAGCGCAACAGCTTTGAAAGAATTAGAGAATCCTCCACTTTATCCACAGTTTGTCTTTATTAACAACTGCATTTTCTTGAAAAATGTGGGTTTAAGTCTTGAAAGAAACTGAATATGGCTATTCTATATCCTATTTGAGTGGTCTAACCATCGGCATATTTTCCTCTCAAAACCACTAGAATTTCTCACTATTTTGAAAACAGTCAGGGGACCATTCTGCCCTATTCTTTATGATCTAGAATTTTAAGACTTTATAGAGAGGAATTACAAAGAAGTGGAACCAAAGTTCCTTTTCCCAGTCTCCGATTTCCACTGACAGATCGAGAAGACAAGTCTTATTATTCCAACAATACAAGGATTGCTAAAGAATAAAGACTTCCACAGGTGTGCAAGTGCCATAAAAAAACCCTCAAAAGTGCACCTATGTGACAGCTCACAGGATGTTTAATGTGACTCTCTGCCTGTAACTTCAGATTTGTGTGCATTCTGTCTACTGCCAACTATGGCATGGGAAAAGGAGAGAAGGTACTCTGCTAATAACATGAAATCACATGCATGACTAAAAGCAGATTAGTGTTTCTATACAGCTGTTAATGCTGCATATATACTGTTTTGTTCTCACAATATGCTACTGCTCTCTTTCCTTATAACACGCTAATATTTCCTGTAGACAGACACAGTAAGGAGCTGTTAGAAAAACAAATAACTCTATTTATCCTCATCTACACTTTCGTGAGCACCTGACTCATTAACTTGGATACTTTCACAAGCAGTTCTCAAGGACAACATATGCAGCTATCTCACAAAACAGGGAGATGTCGTGAAATAGAAGATGGAACAGATTAGTTCTGTATCCCTATGGCAACGCAATTGTTTATATACATTTTAACTCAGTTTACTTGTGAGAAAATACATTTTTTTGAAAAATATGATTGTTTTGCTTTTCATGGTAGCAAAAGCATAAATTTCTTGAAGTGTGCCATACTTATTCACAAACTCTATGCAGTTCTTGGATGCCTAGAAGTTAAACTACTTTAAAATGAAGAAAAAAACCACTTCATCAAAAAAATTACCTTACAGTGGGTGCTGTAATGATTCCTATGAAGAGAATTCTCCCCCAGCTTAAAGGGTGGCTTGCTTGGAACACAAAGATATGTTTCAAAAAGAATGTGTTCAACTCAGTCAGCTAGGGAAAAAAAAGGTGGTTAATAGTGTCCAACTTACATGACTCCTAATGAATTACTACAGAAAATGTGCAAAGATTAATGTAGAAACTAAAACATGGAAGGAAAACTATTTATGCTCTACTATAACCCTGCTGGTTAGACTGAACATTTCAAGAGTCTAAGACTCCTGCTCTAGGACAAGCAAGGAATATACAAGTAAAACAAATAACTCTGCCCTAGACACCTCTACGAAAGTATTTGCTATCTTTCCAGAAACAAATTAAGGGACCAGACACTCATTCACACTGCAGAGGTCTTGAAAACTTTCATATCCTAAATCGGGTATGAATGACAAAGGCAATTTTGGGAGAGAAGCAGAAGAGATCACACATTAAAAAAAATTTTTAAAATCTCCTTTTAAAAACTAAATTAGCAAAGTAAAAAAAAAAAAATTAAAAAAGTTTTAGTTTTATTTTCATGATGAAGTACCAAAGCAGTTGGGACATGTTACAGCGTCAAGGCCAGTATCCTGAGCATCACTGATCCATTCAGCAGTCAATGGGAAAGTAAAAAAAAAACCACCAAAACCACCACCCCAAACAAAACAAACAACCAAAAAATCCCCCAATCAACACAACAAAACCAAAATAAATTAAAAATCCACCATCTCAAGCCCCCACTGTCTAGCAGTTTTTAAATCTGTATCAGTTGGGAAGAGCAATCTGATGGCCTGTATTGGGTTCTTCCATAGGTTCTGCAATTACACTCATGAACTATTGTGAAACTTCTCTGAGCAATATCCTGACCAATTGTGTATTATCAGTTCATTTAATTGTGTATTTCAATGACAGACCTACATTGCATTAGAATATTTTCTAGTCTAACATAGCCAACAAGTAACTGAGCTGATGGCAGCTTTGAGGCCACAGAATTTATTTCTTACCTGCCAAATGATCATGAAAAGATAGATTCCAGCCACTCTCTGAAATGATGACTTTGGGTCAAACCAGCGGACATAGGTCCAGCTGGCTGGGGTGAACTGCAGTACAGCTCTTTTGATTTTCCCTGTGGTTGTGTGAATGTCCCTAGAAAAAAAGAATGGCTGGAGTAAATACAAGGAATATGCAAGGGGAAAAAAAGCAACAGCCGTGTTACTGATGTTTTGGAACAACTGCACTTTTTTGATGGACAGCAGAGACCTTCACAGACACAACTATGTACAAGGGTGAATTAAGGAACTACCTACTAAGCATTTCAGTCAGGGTGCTATTCTGCTATAAAAACCCACCCTTCTCTATCCTCAGTCACTAACAAACTACAAAACATTTATCATCCTCTCCACAAAGGAAAGATACAAAGATTGAAATTCTGCAACCCCCTTGGAAAATCTAGAGGATATTTCTTCCTAGTCTATGCTGCCACTACTGTTATCCCAAAGACTCCTTGTGCTAGAGCTCGCTGACAACAATCCTTCAAGAATCTGTCAGATTCATTATTCATCCATTGTATAAAGGGCTGGCTCCACACGTTTAAAAATTCTGATACAGATTTTACTACACTTCCAGTACATATAGCCCCTGCTGTTCTGATATGAGATGCATGTGGACCTCCTGGAGAGGTGCAATAGCACTGTTAAAAGCTAGAAATCTATTAAATTCCAATTTGAAAGGGGATTTTAATGGAGGCTCATCTGACATATGTATTACTGGTTGGTTCTTGCTTTTGATAACATTGATTCAGATGAGCAACAGCATCCAAAGGACAGGGAATCTAACAAAAACTCAGAGCTTCTTTTTATGAAGGAAGACTAATAGGGCTAGAAGTCAGTTTTCACCCTGTTATCTCTCTGGCCCTTCTGAAAAAAAAAGAGACTCAGATTTGATATTTCTGATATTTGTGTTCTTTTAGGCTAGAGAGACCTTGGGTGAGAGAATATCTTCTAAATTTTAAGATCTATATTTATTCAATGAAAAAAAGAGAAAAATAAATTAAAAGGGCCGAAGCAAAAGCTTCTAATTTTATGCAGCACTTTCATATTAAAGATAAAAAAATCTACTCATGCATTTAAAAGAATGTGAGGAAAAATCATTCCACAAAGACAGTGAAGACTAGTTGTGCCATAGATATTCTGCTGTTTAAACTTTCAGTGAACTCTAAAAACAGAAGGATCATGGACTCTAATGGAAATGAAGGAAAACTGAATTGAGACTAAAGGCTGGATGGTGCTTAGAGCAATTAACAAATTTGTGAGCAAGAAAAGAAATCGGTACAGAAATTCACATGGCGTACAAATTTGGAAGTCAAGATTTGAGCTCGTTTTCCATCTCTCAGGCAATTCATTGTACTCAATCTGTTTCATCTATACCACTGCTAATGTGCAGATAACCATGCTTGCTACCAACTGGCTGGGAAGAAGGCTGGAGAGATGTTAAAAACTATGGAAGAAACCATGTGGACAGCTAGGAACTGACACTTACTAGGTCACAATCTGTTGCCCTTTTACACAACAAATACCTCTTTATTTTGCAATTACTCCATTTATTTCAGAGGGTCAGCAATGGGGTAAGGCAATTCACAGAATAGGTACAATCAGCCTCTTCTACAATTACAACTAGTGCTGACAGATTGCCACACTAATGCATCCTCAAGCTGAGCCCAAATCTAGTTTAAAAAATGTATAATGAGAAAACAAGTACAATTTGTTTTGCTCCCTGCCTTCCTCAAAGTACAAAATTAACTGAAAACACAAATAGCTTTACTACATTATATTTTCCATTGGCATCAATGCTTGGAAGTTAGGACTGCAAAGGAAAATTATATATACAGTCATATTTACAAATATATGCTGTACAGTATCATGATGAGATTGATATTTAACATTTAAAATAAAATTACAGCCTTGTTAGCACAGGTAGATTGCGTGCTATTTCTATACTACGTGTATTTTACTTAAGCAAAGAAGGTGGTCTATTTCCCAAGGAAACAAATTTAACATTATAACATCGAACATAATGTTTACCAAGCTTTAATTTAGACCTACTTGAAGCTTGCCCAGTGATAGGTCCTCATCTCCAAGAAACGACAAACTACCATGCCCAACCAGATGCCACCCCCGTTACAAAGCAGGATGTCCAAAATGACTTGATCCCACCAGCATTCAGCAAAATTAGGCAGAAGGTGCATGAAGAAGAGCTACAGAATACAGCAAAGAGATTCTGGGTGAGGAACAGCACAGAATTCATATAAATTCACTTTTTAAGTACACATTCAAAAATCAGCTTTTCAGTACACAGAATACTTCAATGGCATAAGCCACAACCACTGAAATCTGACAGACATCTTTCCTTTAACTTCAGAAGGCCTTGGACAGAACCACACAAGATATCAGAGGTTTCCTTCTCACGGTTTCCTGTTGGGGCTATGCTGTATATAAGGATATCATGCAGCTCTTGGCCTCTCAAAGATGATACACAGAACCTTCATAGAAATGCGTGAAACAAGCAGAACTACTGCATTTCTTGGAGGAAATAAGGTGGTTTGTGCTTTAAAAGTAAGTTGAAAAGAATCTTTGTTTTACTTCTGCTAAATAGTTTCAAGAAGTATGTTTTCTAAACCAGCAACAGCGGTAAGTGGAATGGATGCACTTGTAACAACAGTCAGTACTTAAGCATGTTGGTGTTCAGGACTAAATACTTGTTCTTTTTCAAAACCCTATCTTTCATTTATTATTTTCATCTAAATTTAGTGACTCTAAAAGATAAGGAGTTCACCAACAATTCAGACTCTACAAGCTTTGCTGCTAGACTCGATCCAGATTGTGTCAAGAATTTAAGAGGACGTTCCACTCTGCCTTCCTGCTTGGTCTCTGCTAAGCACTATAACAATGAAGGCACTTTTATGATGAAGATACTGGAAAACAGGCCAGAAAAAAACATTATTAGACTGAAGAGCTGACACCACCTGAATGTATCAAAACATATCCCATGCCTTCAAGATTTCCTCTGGAAAGTGCGCAAATCATTTACCTCTGGAGCAATCCGCTCCTTTCAGAATACTCAACTGAAAATCACTATGAGGCATTAGTAAGGCAATTAAATGTACTTAGAGATACATTTGGTGACTTTACATTACTGATGGAGTGAGGGGAACAACCGGCCAGAGTTAAAATAAGATATAAATATAATTTACCAAGAACTAGAAATGGATTCAGTTGCTTTCCTTTAAGAGAAAATAATTGTACACTCTATTTTATGAAAAAAATTGCTGCAACAAAAAAAAATATTAGAAAATTTTAGCTATAGACTGGAAATCAAGACAGCCATGTGTTAAGCAGTCTCTTTGGAACACTCAAGGAGATACATAGCAAATTAAAGTATATTCTTACCTCCACAGAAACAGTACAACTTTTGTCAGTCAGTGCACACAGACTCTTTCCGTGGAAGATTACTGATATGATTTTATAATAAAGTATCTTTTACTAACAGATGTATAAATAAAATATTGAAAAAGTCAGATGCGGGAAAAGGAACAAGAAGAATGTTTTCTGTATAGAGCAAGAACGAATACTGATCCATTTATAGCACATTACAGTGACTATTATTGGCAATGACAGCTCCTTAGAAAACTCTTGCAAAAGCATATCAAAATCACTTGTTTTACGTTGACAAGGTTATATGAATTTCAACCTGGAAAAAAGAAAACTTGAATTTCTCTTCAGGACCCAAGCAATATAATGTTGTTCATTTCCTGCTGAAGTTTCCCTTTCATGTTTTTAACTAATTTAACCTAAAAGGGACAATAGGCTACAAATCTCAGTCTACGATAACCCAACCAAAACCACCAGAAATTACAGAATGTAAGGCAGCAAAGCCCAGAGCATGGGTGTTAGCCAGATCACCTCTAAGGTGTTAGATGCTTTCTCAGAATGAGAGACCAAGGTCTGCCTGCATCCCAACTTTAATCCTACAGTATGGAGCATGAGCCAAGTTTCCCATTTCAGAATGGGGAGTCAGCTGTAATCCATAAATGCTAATAGGAGATGCACAGCTAAATCCCTATGTAATTGCCCTGACAACTTCTGTAGGTTTCAAATTACTCTCCTGAATTGTCTAATTCATCAAAAATCCATTTGAGTGGTGATAACATATCCATATGTTGAACCTTATCCAACACACTGTCTGTTCCAATAATCTGCCTTTCAACAAGGGGAAGACACTCCATGTGGTGTGTCGACAACACACAACACTCGATGGTTGTGTGATGATCAAATGCACAATAACAGCACAAGTGAAACAAATCCAAATACATTCTTTTCCAGAGCGAAAATATGAATATAATAACTAGAAAAATTATTTTTTTGCAGATGGGTACTTGTGAAATCCCAATCTTAAGTGATTTCAAAATAACTTAGAAAATGGCATACCCTTCAATGCCACAGAACAAAAACATGTTTTGAAGAGGAACTCATGGCAGCAGTATTTTGAAACCCAGAAGTTTAATTTTAGACAAATAAATCCTTATGTTTCTGAATTATAAAAGCTTTGTCAGATGAGGCAAGCATTCTCAAGACGGCAAGCTTTACAGAAAACTGATTTTAAAGACTAAATTCAGGTGTTAATCCCCAATTGCATTTCACTTGTACATTATGCATGACTATACACAATGTGTAATCCTGTTGTATGTGGGGTAAGGGGATCACGACAGTAGACCACAGATATTGCAAAGTGAAAAAGGAGAACAGTTGCTCTGAATCAGGAAATACCTGAAGTAGCAAAAGTAGCATGATCTCCCTAACAGCAGAAAAATAAATTATGAATGGCACCAACAGGCTGGCCTAGATCTCCCTCCCATTCAAGCAATAATAAGCCACTTACCTAAAACCCAGCTTGCTGTTGTCTACTAATTCAATTGCATCAATTACTCAGCACCTGGTTTATAAGGCTTAAAATGTAAATCTATGCTGAGGACTAGAGAGTCATCCTTCTAGTAACGTCCACACTTCCCACAAGAACACATCTCATACATTTGCTTACAATTAAGACACAAGGATGGCCTACCTCAGTGAGCTCCCAGGTGATGCTGATAGTCCAGCAGAGCCCATAGCTGCGGATCAGCAAAGCCTTCATAGCCCAGCCCCAGAAATGTCCAAAAGCAAATATATCAAAGTGGCTAAGGATTCTTTCCCAGGTGATAACATGACAGTTCACTGCATACTCCTGTTATGAAAAAAAAAAAACCAAAAAAACCCAAACCCAACAAAAATACTCAATCAACACACAACTTCAGAAAAACTAGGATGAAGAAACATCTTTCTATTTAGTGCAACAAATCTGAAATTAAACGGGTATTAAAATAAGCATTATTTGTTTTCTTGTCCTTCTAAACTCTGCCAGAAAACTTCCAGTATTAAGACTCAGTGCCATCACAGTACAGCTCTAATTTAAAGGGAGATACAATAGATCCTGGTGCCTGAAGAAGCATATATTTCTTATGTGATAGAGAAACAGCAAGAACAGTAAAATCAATAACAATAAAACCAGCAACAACAAAACAATAAAACCCTTCTTTGGAGTCTTGATTTGAAATAACTCTCTTTCCCCATTTTGATGCTGTCTGGTATTCAGATGTGGCTCATCAGTGGCTAATCCTCACCAGTTTGTGATGTAATGTTACTTGTATCAGTGGTTACTTGAGTATCTTTTGTGTATTATTTTCCTCATGAAAGCAATTTTCCAGAACCCATTCATATTGAGGAAGTTCAGTCACAGGCCTGAATTGAAAAAATTAAAAAAAAAATCAAGGGGAGCTTGCAACTGTGTTGTCACAGATGAGTGACAGATTCCTTAAGAATATTAATTAATATTCTAGTCTCCAATAACAAAGGAAATAGGTTCTCTCAACATGTTGTACAGCAAGTGAAAGAAAACACTGCCCAACAAGAAATAAAATCTGTATGCCATCAGGAGGCTGCAGCTGTGGCATTCTGTTGTGTCACTGGGATTAACTATTCCTAACAGGAAACACACATTTAAAAACCTCTGGTCTCCAATCCTGCTAAAATATACATTGCCATCTGCAGGTGACAACATGGCACCACTCAACACCGTTAAACCAAGAATTCTCTTTCAGGCCAGAACTATTGCTAATCCCATACAAACAAATCCTGATCAAGCTAAAACGGAGATGTAGAGAAAGATTTGAATCCAGGCGACCACAAAGAGAAGAATGCACACTGTCACACAAATCCTTCTATCAGCAGGCAGTTAAATCTCACTATAAAACCCTTACTGCTGGTGCTCCCTGAAATGAAAGCACGGTATTGCTTCTGGTGCATGCCTATGCTGCTGGTCCTTCAGAGAAAGGTGCACCACCTGTTCTAAGGATGGCAAACCTGCAGCTTTAGTGCATGTACCCAAAAGAACTGAAATGGGCTCATTTGCCAGCAGGAGAAGCCTGAAGGGCACCACAGAAGGTACAGGTTCCTAGCTACACCATGATATCTATGACGAGTGAGCACAATGAGGTTACTCCAAAAGCAAGTTTTTTTCCAAGGCTTTTGCTTTTTTGCTTTTATTTGTACTGGGGCTTTTTTCCTCTCTATCTCATCTTTTCGGCTGCAGCTCTGCCAGCCACACAGCAAAATGTGTTGAACTTTCTTTTATACCAAAGTAATTTTGCCGGTTCTGTGCAAGCAACCAAGCTGCAACCTTCATTATAGTTGCACTTTAATTTGCTCCAACTTTAAGTGACAATATCAGGATTGCAAAGTAGCACAGAGTAAGTTTCCGCTGATTGCTACAGTTGGGGAATCTGCTGTACTGTGGTTCTGTGCCAGTAGTAATACTAGTCCTCCCGTGACTTGAATCTATTTCTAACTTAAATGACAGGAGAGCCAGGTGAACCTGACTTATCAACAGACTCCTCGTCTCAGCTCCATCTTGTTGCTCAGCAACATCACTAACACCCATGCTCAGGCTCCATTTAGCCATGTGTCCTCCCACCACCCTAGGAGCAAGCTGCCCATGTCATCACCACAGGTCTCCTGCAGAACCGAAAGTCACGGCCCTACTTCACGTGCTGGAGTTGCACAATCTGTACGGCTGATCAGCTGATCAGCAGTGCCTGAATTTTCCAGGTAAGGAGCCTGCCTATCACTATCAATTCATTAACGTAAGCTTACTGCATTGTAAATATTTCCACTCCTGATTATGTGTTACAGTTTGCAGCCACTGCTGATGAGGTGCTGTGCAGTGGTTGGCACATGCAGTAAATTGCTCTGTGCGAAAGACAACCAGAGTATTTCCTCACTCACGAGGCATGAACCCTATAAGACTATACAACAGGTGATCATGGTGGCCAGATGCCCAAACCCAAGGGCAAGGGAGCATGCTGGTCAGGTGGTGAGCAGTAATTTGATGGAATAGTGAGGAAGACAAGAGTGGCAACTCTTGCCTCCCCATGCAGTAATCCTCTTCTTCTTGGTGCCCAACTGCTCACACTGTCTTCTGCCTGCCTCCCAACGTAACTCACATACTTCTCCCAGGCCTCCTTTTCAAACCTCAGCTCCCTGTGCTAGTGTCCCCACCTGAGGGGGAATGTTCTCTGTAAGGAAAACTTTTCGCAAGCTGCTCAATAGGCAGAAGAACAAGCCTGGCTTTCCATGTCACTCCATACTAAGGTCTATGGAAGTAATTTCGCAATGGTAACAGCATCAGTGCTCAGCTGAGTGACTGGAAGGCAGCAGAATCCTGCAGTTGTTGTACCTGCATTTCCACATACTCTGTAGCATGCCAGTCATGTACTAACCTCAGAGCAACAAGGCAAGACCCAAGTTCTCTGAGTGCAGCATTGCAGCAGCAATGATCTGGGACACACACACCATAGAGGCTGCATTTAGGTACAACCTTGCTAAGTCTTTTTTCAGTATCCAGGCTCATATCTATTACTTAAAGGAATCCAAAGTCACTTCACTGTAAACACATATCCCATTTCAAATTGCACACTCATCTGAACAGCTGCATTAGAAAAAAAAAGCTTTTTTTCACATCAGTTAATTTCAATGTAAATAAACAGTAGGTGACACAAAGGGCTCGTTGACTCTGTCAAGTATAGGCACAAACTTGCATTGCTGATGCCAGCAAATTCAGATTTATCCCTTTCCACTCAGGTAAAATATGCCTGACGTAGCCAAAATGTACAATAAGTGCCATGGATACATACCATAATATCTGCTTCCCTTGTGGCATATCGAAGATTAGGATCCAGCCAGTACATCACTGCTTTTACCTGCTCAAAGTTAAGGAAGAGCACGAACACCAGGAACAGAAAATAGAGCACACTGAGACCTGCAAAAAGACTCAGCTTTAAAATCATGTTCACTCACAAACCTCCTTGGAACACAGAGAGTCCAAAAAGCTGCTTTCAAACTTGCTCTACATGTGCCCAGTTTGCACAGATGAGTTTCTATAAAGCAGCTACATGCAAAAAAGCTGAAGAGACAAGTCAGATCTCTGAGCACACAGCCCTTCATATCACCTCCTGGGAGAAGTGATACAATATATGCTCCACTGCATGAACCTAATCAAAACAAAATCAGTCTAATCAGTTTAGACACGTAGTACAAGTCTGTAATCAGGAAGCTCTTTAGTAAGAGATACATTAGGATCCACGATTGGATTAGCTCTGCCTCTTTGCTTTAAGTATTCTTGGTCTCAACTAATGCATGTCTAATGCCTATATGCAGATTTCAACACAAAGATCAATTTAATCATGCCATCTGGCAATTCTGAGCTGTGCTGGTAATAAAAAGTAATTATAAATATAAACTAATGCATGTTTGAGTTACTTTTGTGAGCTGGAAAATTCACTGCTTGAAGCTTTTAAAGATAAATATGATTATTTATTTTCTCACCATTATAAATTATTAAACACTTGCATTTGGGAGTACCAGTTCTCTCCTCTCAAAGCCTGAATATGGATTTTTTTTTTAAAAAGAAAAACTTGTTACAAGTTGAGTCCTGGTTACAGACCCGTGGGTAGATGAAGCTGTTGTTGGGAGCATATCTTTACAATATTCACAGGTTCACCAATATCCAAGAGCACATTTGGAAGAGGCATATAAACACTATTTCCGCAGTCTCGAACTTACTCGTATCCTGCAGCTTTGTCATGAAAGGCAGAAAGATTAATGCAAATAAACTTAGTATCTGCCATCCAAAATAAACTACAGCAATTCTAAAATGGTATTTTAAACTATAACCAGAACTCATGTGTTAATAATCCCCACTTTATGCTAGAAAGCAACTTTTGTTCAAGTACTCACAAACAGTCCTCTGCAGTCCCTCCTAAAAATACATCAGATAAACCAGTGTCACACTGCTGCAAGAAGCACAGCCTACAGGTGAGGGTGCATCTCGAAATGTGGAGGACATGCTACTCCTTCCTTTTACCTACTGAACAGGTCTGAGAACTGAAGCATGGCTAAATGAACCATGCCAGAAGAAGCAGAACTACACATGGAAAATGTTGCTCTTGGTTTTGTGTGCAGCCTTTTTCCAAAAGTACAAGGGCTCAAGCTCTGACAGCATCAACATTGAGAATGACCTTTTACTTTACATTTGCTGAAACCACAAATGAGCAGTAGGACCTGAGTTTCCCAAACTTCCAAGAAGCAGGATTCTTTAACGAGTACTATCTAGTTAGCAATACCCTCTCAATGTCAACAGATGACTAATCAGCTACTTTGAGAGGCTACTTATTTTTAGCTATATAAGGAGAGAGAAACATTCAGTATCCTTAAAAATAAACAGATCAGCTTTTAAATCAGATGTGCCTAATTCTCTGCACATATGCAGTCTAGGATATGCTCTGTGAACCATGAATTATTTAAAAATGAAACTCCTTACAGTTTTGCTGTGTAATTCAGGTATTTAAGGAGCAGGATTTCACTTTGTTAGTTCTGCAGTTAATAGAACTATCTTCCAAACTACGAACGCGACTGATATTTACAGGTACTTTTAATGAAATTATAAGTTAAGAATATGAATATATACGTTAAAATATTAATAAAGGTATGTTAAGCCATACAATGGCACGATTTAATAAGCATATAAAGTAAGAGCATATTTTGCCAATAATGAAAAGCAGCACCCTACTTGATTGGATTTAGAAGTCAGATAGTATATGCAGTAGCTATAAAAATGCCAAACCTTTCTGGGGTTGGAAGAGATGGCAGTAGGAAAGGTGTGGGGGAAGGAGATTAGGAAGCACAAACAAACAGGATTAAAACAGTATCAGAATGAATGATCTCTTTTTGATGATTCAGTTTACACCATCCTGACACGCAGTAATTACAATGACATTCCCAAACACAACTATGAATAGATTTTAAGCAACTGCTCAGATGCAGGAGAAGCTTCATAGAGGCTTGATGCACAATTATGTTTTGTGATAATTCCATTTTATCAGAAAATGGCAGATCCTGCAGAAGCAGTGAAAAAGTCAAAAACATATCTTAAACTTACCAAAAACCATCCTCCATATTGCAGGATGAGGACGTGTAAAGGGTCCTGTGGACAGTAAAACCAAAAGCTTATTAGAAGCCAGTCAATAAGAACCACAAAATTTATTTTTTAGTATATCTCATCTGAGGATTTGGTATGAGCACAGATCAGTTTTCCATCAAACTATGAAATACACCTGAAAGTTGGGGCAGCTATGTTAAAAAAAAAAGTAATAGCAGATTTTGGAGTGCAAAAAGGAGACTGCCAATTAGTAGCGTGTAGACAAAATTTTCCACTATTTTTATGGAGTTGTTTTCAAAACAGTAGAATGCTGTTTGTTCAGCAGACACCACATCTCAAGTGTCACCTGGGGATCTCCTGACCTGGTTTCTAGACTACAGGTCACACATAACTTGCTCCCAATTAAGTAAAAATATACCGATTTCTGCGTGTTACCAAAGATACATGGTGCTGAGCCTTCAGACCAACATGAAATGTTACCAAAGAGGCCTCCTGAAGCTTCCAAACTGAGTATCATAGATATCTGACAAGAAGTAAAATACCTATGCTCCTTACCAGTGTCCATATTCTTTACTTTAGAGCCAGTGATCAAACTGATTTATTAGATTAAAAACCTCTCAGTTAATAGGAAGAGCAGAGAAGGTAAGTCTGATGAAACTGGAAAAACTCTAAATCAGAAACGTACATTTAGGTAGTAAGAAGTGGCTGAAAAATATTTTCAGCACACACTGAGGACTGTTTACCACTGTATGCACAAAGCTCATTTTTCTCTGGCATTCAGTTTTTCAGAGAATACTTAGTGGAAAGTGTGGATTAAGGATTTTTAACATATGGAAAAAACACAGCCACCTCTGAAGTACAAAGCTGCCCTGACCACAATCGGTTTCTTCCTGAACGCTGCCAATCGTGAGATAGTTTAGACTTGACACAAGAATCGTGATTCTGCTGACAGCAATAATGAAAAATAATAATTAAAAAAACCAAAACCAAAAACATGCAAACCAGGTAGAAGCATTTCATCCACAGAATTCACACACAAACTTGTTTACCTTTTTGCACTTTCTGCTCCTCACACAACTACCAAAACTTTTGTCCAACTTAACCTTCTACTGAGCAACTGTGGTTTTGCATTTTAATATGACTTAGACCATTTCTTTCACTACCTTCTGGTAAGGTGCTGTATGTAAGGTGTTGTCTCTGAGAATTTTCAGAATTACACTTCTGTTAAAACACTGAGGCAGAGTCCTTTTAGACATTATTTAAGGGTCTGTTAGCATCATTACTCAGCAATCTGAGCTGCAACTGCACATCTGCAAATAGGACACCAGTTCTGAGAACCTGACTTCCCTGTTAAACACAGGCAAGCTATAAATAACACATTTTACTGTTATCTCTGCTCAGTATGACTGCAAAACATTTTTAGACTTAACATAAAGGAATTCAAAAGAGTAAAGAAAAAGTACACTGAAAATTGGTATTTAAATAAAAATCAAAATATAGTGGCAATAAGGAGAAATTCACATGTGAAAAAAAAAAAAGTGAAGTACAAACTGTGTAAACCTTACTCACCATTAGGAAAAGCTAGAACACTGATGATTAGAAAGAAGAAAATCACAGAGAGGATACCCCTCCAAATATTATCCTCTGGTACAGAATCATCCCTAAAGAGACAGACAACAGTGGTCAAGTACATTATGAGGATGAAGCCAGAAGGCTCTGAAGATATATTATTCAAATAAAGACTACATGGAAATTAAATATAAAAAATATGCATGCTGATTATATAACAGTTAAGATAGTAACTCCACTGAATGATTTTCACACTACACTTCTGGGTGTTCCTTTCTTACAAGAGAGTTAAATATTTAATCAACACATGCAAGCCATAAGCATTGTTAGAAGTTTATGTAGAAGCAATGACTAAATTTAACACAAGGTGAGAAAATCTTCCTGCTTTAATGTTCACAGAAACATCATCAAAAGTACTTTTACACAGCAAACAGACCTAAACTAAAATCTCTGGAAGCCTGGATGCAATTCCTAGGTTTCTCTCTGCTGTTTTGGTGGTACTCGCAACTCATTTCCCTTTGCTATTCCCAATGCCAAATGCCTGAGGTGAGTGCAGAGAGGGCAAAAACAATGACTATAATCAGCCTTTGGAAATAATGAATATACAGCTTAGAATCTGTAACAGAGACATAGCAAAACTTAATAGAGCCAAGGAAAAATATTAATTGCTTCTAGATCTGTTAAGCCAAAGCTCTGAACAAAATAGCTGGTATTATCTCTGCTACTGTCATATTACGGCCAGAGGACAGACTTAAGAATTCAGTTTGGAATGCCAAGGCAAACTTGACTAAGCTCTTCTTTTTTAGGTAGGTAGAATACAGTGTATAGCAGCAAGATTAACCCTCACCCAAGTCTTCTAACCAGCAGAAAGCTTCTGGGGTACTTCAGTAATACAAAGAGAAACAAACTTCAGACTATCATAGTACTAACAACTACCATTTCATAATGTATCATCCACTACAATTGAAGTTAAAGTTTTACTATCTGGGTAATTTTCATGTATTTAGGATTAGTTTATCTATTTAACTATATTCCTTTTTACTTATTCCCCACATGCTAATAAAAAATTCCCAGCAAACTTTAGAGGGACAAAGGTCTTCCTGGCAGATTATCTGTCAAATTTCTGGATGGTTCAGTAAAGAACCCATGACAGCATAAATGCTCTCCACATTAGATATTTGCTGTGGTAGAAAATATTTCTCACTTAGCCAAATTATTTCTCTTTTGCTCAAAACTGAACCTTAAGAGCTCCAGAGCAGGTTTTCATCACTGTGAGGCATTTAAGCACTGTGTCAGGCAGGCAAAATACATTAAACATGAATGGTTTCTCTGCAGGCCTTTGGGGCTCCCCACAGCATTTTTTTTTTTTTAAATCAGCTGAGTCCAGATTTACCAGTCATTTTCGAGCAGCCATGCTGCACAGGATGGCACTTTACACCAGCTATAAACCCCAGGTTCCAGAGCTTAACTGTGGCTCCCCTGGCAATCCCAAGAGCCTCATGCCATCCAGTGCACTTCCTAGCCAGCGTCTCAGGCTCTGATGGCTCAGACAGCAAAACCATATTCCTCTTTTAACGCAGGCAAACAACACATACAAATGTGCTGTCATGGCTGCCACCAAGAGGATGAATATTTATTTTTTAAGAGAGAACAAATAATGAGAGTCACATAACATCAATTCATCATGGCCAAGAAAGAAGTGACACTGTGATCGCATCACTTAATTGTTGCACAGCTGAGATGACTCACCTTTGCGTATCAGGATTCGGAGTACTACTCAGCTTCAGGAAAGCTGTCCAAGTCATATTGGCACTACCCCCAAAATCACCAAAGATGTTGTATGCAGTGTTAAACTGTGTTTCATTCCAAGTGGGTGGCAAAGGCATTTCATTTTGGCTTGCAGATACATTTCAAAAGGGACAGACATCCAATCTCCTTGCCAGAAGCAGGTAAGAACAGGTGAGAGCAAGAAACTCACTGCTGTGCACTAGTTAGTATAGTGTTTGCCCGAAAAAACTATTTTGAGGAATGCCAAAAGGAAAGACACAATTACGACGAGTTGCAATCAGGAAAATGTGCTAAATCATCTCCTCATTCAGCCCCATAAATGTTGAAGCTGATTTTGAAATATAAGCATTCATGCAGTAAAAACAAGGTTTCTAATGCTTGTGTGGGAGGACAGATGAGAATTCTCTCAATTTTAACCCACTTTATCATGGTATATTTCAATTCTGTGACTTTTTAGAGAAGAAGTAATAAAAAATAAAGCACATAATCTTTCTCTCTCTCCTGGTCTTCTTGAGAGCACTACATTACACTTGCACATTACAAAAACGTCAACTAATAAGTTATTACATCATAAAGAAAAAGGAAAAAAAAAGAATATTCAACGGAGTTAAAAATAGCTACAACACTAAATTTGGACTGGGGGCGGAGGTGGGGGAGAAATCTTCCATAAACTCAAGCAAATCTAAATGTACAATAATCCAGTTTAATCAATTCCATTAAATAAGGTACATGAAAGACAACAGCCCTACATCCTCATAGGTCTTACTCCTGCTTCCACAAACCCTTGAAACTTCATGGGAGCAGCTACTAATCTGTCACCTTTCTCAGTCCTATTGTTGTATCCCACAAAATATCCCCTCCAGCACTCACCTGCCCTCCTGCTGGTTGCCTCTGGGCTCAGAGAAGGCCACATCACTCTCTCTAGGGTAGAGGAGGACAGGGAAGGCTACAGCCACTCCATGCCTCTGCTCCAAGGTGCAGAGTAGAAGCAGGGGAGCCTGTGTCTGGCTCATTCAGCAGGAAATAACCAAGGCAGCTGCAGCCATTGTCAGAACTACTAGAAGGATGTGCTTTAAAGAACAGAACACCCTCTATTCCCCACTTTGTTCAAGTGCAATGAAACACACATTTCTTTTCCTAAATTATTATTATTATTGCTACCTGAAAATTACTGCTATCTGAAGTTCAGCTTCACCCTTATCTGTCAGCTCAAAGACAGTATCAGCTGCTCTCAGTGATCCTAAGGGAAACTCCACATTATGGCTTAGTATATACAAGGGAAAAGCATTTTTCAAGTTTCTCTGACACAAAAGAAGTACAGAAGTGACAAGAAAGACTTTAAGGGAAGCGGAATTTCCTCTCATGAAGTTCCTGAAAAAACAAATTTTACTTAACAACATCAGTAGGAATTTATCATAGAAAATCCCCTGCTTAATAAATTGACCAGGAGAGCTACGGAACAACTGACAGCACAGGAGAAGCAAAGAATCACTTGTGACACCTTAGTGGGAAGTCTACAGTGCCTTGCATTCAGGAGGTGGAAAAATGAACACAGTCACTGGAGACTCAAGGCAATAAGCTGATGGAAGCAGAACGACCAGACCTAGGAGCACACGCTGTAGGCACGTAAGGAAATATCTCCCCTCCCCCAGTTTCTCAAAGACTGGATACAATTTGGGTACTGTCCCAAATAAGGCATGGAGGCAGCACTCTGATTTAGGAAACTCCTACAATAGTTGGAATCAGCAAAAGGGGGATAAGGGAGAAAACAAAATCTGAGTAGCTTCCACAACCTGAGAAGAGGAGAAACAGAGAAGACATAAAGAGAAATCAACTGGCATTTAAACACAGGAAGTGAGGCAGAGAGAAACAGAGGGAAGCAAATGAAACCGAAGAAGCTGGAGTTAGAAAGCTAACAAAACAAATGGAATGAAGAGCTAGCAGTACTCTTGAAAAAATGCAACATCCCAGAAGCAAAGCAGTATTATTTGGGACTAGAAAACACCATAGTTCTGAAATCGCTCTTGACTCATCCTCTGCTTGAAAGAATTGGCAAAATTCCTTCCCCAAAGGTGAGCCATTGGTTCCATTAATCCTTCAGAATTATGTCTTGATGAGAATATCTTATTAACTCACAAGTTTGACCTAAATTGGCCCTTTGGAAGGAAAAGTGATCTGGTGAGGGGAGACAGGACAAGAGGAGCACTTGTAGCAAGGTCTGTAATTAAACATGGTAGCAAAGCACAGAAACATGTCTCTGATTTAGAAGTTAAGAAGGGATCCAAGTAGAACAAGAGATGTGTTCAAAAATATCTTCCTTGGGGCTATGCATAAGATGAAACAAGAAAAGGCACTCCTCAGACCATTTGCAGTTACTCTATTTTACATTTCCTTATGCTTCTGTCTCAGCTCAAGCCAGGCTTCACCATTATTTCCACAGCTAATAAAAACTATACATTTGGATTCTTAGAATGAAATATAAGATTATACACTGAACTGTACATGAGGCCTAGGGATAAATCCTGATTTTCTTACATCTAATGGTAAGTTTAAGCAACAAGGCCACTGAAGTCCACAATTGTGTGCACACAACGCCACAAAAGTTTAAATGAGCCCCAAACATGATGCACTACTCAGTCAAAATCTCCCAGGGATCACTGTTTCCCTATAGACTGCACAATTTACTCTAAAGGAGGATTGTGCAATCCTCTTCACAACCCCATTCAGTAGGAGGCAATAACAAGTATGTACAACTTAGAAGAACATGCAAGATACTCATCAGACTGCACTGCTATACCCTTTGCTTTCAGACAAGGCTCCTGAAAAAGACTGTGTCCATTCCTAGCAGTATTGCCATGAATGACTGCAGGGGCGATGCCCACAGAGCTTTCCCTGTAGTGTGGAAAGGATGTGGCTAATCCTATCGGTGCCAGGGCCTAAGCCGACCTGTGACTGGCCACAGACAGTGCTGTGTAGAAATGATGCTACACAACACTCCCGTCTACTGCACGCTTGTAGATCATCTGCTTGAGTGATGTCACTGCTGGGCCACTTGATAGCCCAGTAAAAGCCATTTTTGGCAACTACTTGAAATGCATTTTAGTAAAGACTTCAACAGAGAGCCTCGAAACTATCATCAAGTTCCCAGGAACTGCAGTGGGGAGGACAGCAGCTCTGGGAAGGAGGAGAGGATGCCCGCTCTCCAAACATGGGCCTCCCGCGCACGGGGCTCCGGCACACCCGGCCCAGGACCGCCCGGAGGGAACGGCCCGGCTCTGGCCCTGCCGACAGCCTGGCCCCGGCAGGGACCGCGCTGCCCGTGCCCGGCCTGGGGCCGGGCACGGACCCTCCCCATCCCTGACCTGGGAATCCCCTTCGGCTGGGAGCCGGCAGCACCGGGGGCGGGGAGGGGGATCGTCGTGGCGGCAGCGCACCTGGTGAAGGCGAAGGCCATGAGGCTGAGGATGGTGAAGCTGAGGAGGGTGATGGTGTGCGGCCGGTAGAAGAACTCAAGCGTGATGTCCTCCACCTGCTGCTCGTTGATCATGCGGAAGTGCAGGCGGTAGTTCACGTCGTTCTTGCTCAGGGTCCGGCTCCCCACGCACGACGCCATCTCGCCCCCTCTTCTCCCCTCGTCTCAGCGCAGCTCGGGTTCTCCCGGGGCGGGGCAGGGCAGGGCGGCGCGGCCCGAGCCCGGCTGCCCGACCGCGCCGCGTCCCCCTGCGGGAGCCGAGCGGGGCCGAACGGGGCAGCGCCGCTCCCGCCGCGCTGAGGGGAGCGCGAGGCAAGGCAGGGCAGGGCAGGGCAGGGGAGGGGAGGAACTCGCCGGGCCGCGCCCACGCGCGAGGGAAGGACGAAGGCAGCGCCGGAGGGGGAGAGGTGGAGCCACACCGCCCCCTTTGAGCAAGCGGTGGGAAGCACTCTGGTGCCTGTATGTTCCCTCTCCCCCCCCTTTCCTCGCGGATGGTCTCGCCTGGGTTGGGCTGGGGGCGGGGCACACACGTGGTCAGGCCGCGCCGAGCGGGGCAGGTGAGGTCTTGGCGGGTCTCGGGGGTGTTTCCATGGTCTCTCGATGGTCTCCACATTCTCCTGCACACGCAGAGGCTGCCGGCATGGGGAGGCCTGCGAGGGGCGGCGAGCGCGGCGCGCCCGGGCCCAGCCTCCCCTGCCCTGCGGCGCTGTGCGGTGACGGCCCTGCGCAGAGGGCCCTGTCCCGCGGAGAGGGCTGAGGTCCTGGCTGGGCTTCCCCCGTGCTTCCAAAGGGACAGCTGTCGTACAGGACGACGGGCAGTGGCCTTCAGACCCGGCTTCTCTCCCCAGTTTTGCCTCCTCTGTTTGCCACGCGTTTAAAGCCTTAAAGCCTCTCCTTGGTGCTTTGTAGTGAGCCATTGCTGTAGCGCCCAGGGTATTCGCGCTCCCGGCTTTGCGGCCAGGCAGGCAGCGCCTTTGCCGCCCCTCAGCCCTTTTTCTCCCGGCAGGATGCTGTGTTGAGGTGGAGATGGCTCTGTGGGCCCGGCAGGCCTCCCGCTGGTGTTGCCTGCTGAACACGGCCCGCGCTGCCGGGTTTCCTCGGAGGCTGAGGAGCTGCGGGAGCCCCGCACGGACCTGCCGTGAGTTCGCCCCTCTGGCTTTGCTGCCCGCCGGAAAGGACGGTGTTCTGTGGAGACTACAGGTATGCAGGCATGCGTCTGTAGGAAGCTGTTTCGCGCCCGACAGTGCCAAGGATGGATCCTTCTCTCCTCTGGAAAGTAATTTGCCTTCACCAGTAAAACAGGAACAAGCAAAAGTAGAAGCATTACCTGATCTGAATGCAAAAATATTGAATGAAGGTAAGAGGTTTTAAGGGATACCATTTTTCCCGAATCTTGAAATCATGTTTTCAGTATGTTGTGGTTTAACCCCAGCTGGGTTCTTTTTTTTTGGCCCGTTTATCTAAAACACTTATCTGGAGTTCCTGACTTTCACTTGGTTTTAGCCCCGTAGTTAATGCAAATATTCTTGTGGTCACCGTGGCATCCAAAGCATACCTTTAAGGTGAGATGAAGATAAAATGTTTTGGGTAGAAATGTAGGTCTGGAGCTGCCATTTGAAGGATTTTTCTTTTGATAAATCTACCTGCAGCAGTTGAGTGTTTGCCTTTCCCTCACATACCTGCTGATACAAACTAAGGGGATTGGTTTGGGTGTTTTGTTTGGGTTTTTTTTTGAACAAGGCTGGGGGAGTCCACGCCTGAAGCAGCTCACGCAATACAGCCGTTTGAATGATCAGGAACGAACAACAGGAGGCAGCAGTGTGAAGCCTGCTTTAAGCACTGCTCTGATGAGAAATGCTCGTCCAACTGTCTCCTGAGGAAAGGAGATGAAAGAAGATAAATACAATGTGCAGCTCTTCCTGAAACATTAGGATCATGCTACTTACTGTGGAATCTGTCTTGGTAGTTCTGGTGTGTCTTTGTTTTCTTGACATGGAAGAGTGTTACCCTAGTCTCTAGGATGGCATTGTGCAAAGGTACAGGGGACAGAAAACCCCCTTCCTGAAGAGTTTATAATCAGGGCTGTTGATCAATAATCAATCTGATAATTTAGGAAGATGCTAGCAGCCAGCCTGGAAACAGTAAATCTAGCTGCTGTGAGCTCCTGTCAGTGGAAGAATAGATCCATTTATAGAAGTATTTTTTAAAGGACACTAAGCTCTGTGACTTCAAACACTTAAGGGGGAACAAGCATAATAATGTTCTCTTTGAAACGTTAGTGAGTAGGAAATGGAGCTTGATTTCTTTTGCTGTTAATGGTGGTGGCAGTCAGCAACCATTCTGTAATGGATAAGACATGATACCTTGTTTGGAGTTGGCTGTGAAATGCAGTTGTTTTAACTTTCAGTATATTTCAGGCATCAGATTCAAAAGAGGCATAAAATAGTGGGCTTGTCAGGTTATGAAAAATAATCTTTGCGGTAGCCTTTTTTCTGGATATGATCAGGCAAGAATGCATTTGTGAAGACAGGAGATTCTTTTTCAAGAAGGTGATATGGTCTGCAGACTGAAGGCAGGCTGGCTGGGTACTACACTGATTTGGACACATGAGCAAGAGCTGATGAGCAGTGACAAGGAGATGGAACAGAGGCAAAAACTGGGAGTACAGCTTATGTTTTCAAATAATAGATTGAATATTCATCTCATGCACAGTGTTCCTGCATTTTGAACTGGATTTTAGGAGAACTGTATAGCATTTGGTGCGAGCAGCTTTGTCTTTCACAAAATGCATTTGGGTCATCCACATTTGTTTCTTAGATTGGGATGACATCCCACCTTCATCTGCCTTGGAAGAGATTTCTGAGGAAGAAGCTGTACAGATCATCGCAGAACCGATTCTTCCCCTTCAGTCTACCACGCTCCGAGATTATGTTGATCATTCAGAAACCCTTGCAAAGCTTGTCCACCTAGGTATGTGTGATTTTATTTGTGTAGTTTGCCTATGTCTGGAGCTTTGGAGATTCTTGTGTTTTACTGGTTCCCTTGTAAACTTGAAAGACAGAATGGTGACTAATGGCAAAAAGCAGCAGAATATTATCCAGAGTAAATGGAAAAAGAAGGGGACTGTGTCACTCAATAGCAATGTCATATTTCTTGAAAACAAAGCTGGCTAGTTTTAGTCCCTTAGCGCTTTGGGTGCCAGGAGGAGGCATCTCTCACAGCTTCTGGAGATGGGGAACACTCTATGTAACCTAATTGGTCTCTCTTCTTTTGGGCTGGCTAAGGTTGCTTTAATTTGCTGCAAAAGAAAATGCAGTTCTCCATCCTTGGAAAGAAGGAGAGTGGTTGCTGTGCAGAACCTTAGAAGTGGGGCACAGTAAACTAGAGGCAAGAATGAAGGATGGAAAAGAACCTTACTTCTCATCAAAAAGCAGTTGGACTGCAGGTATATCTGAGTTCAAGGTTGCTGGCCACCTCCTTGTTGCCCAAACATCCAAGGAACACTAGAAGAAGGTTGGAGAAATAATTATTTGAGAGGGGGGAATCTGGCCCCATGTAGTAACAAATTACTATGTGTGAGTCAGTATATAAAGGCACTTCACTGCACAATTGTTCTCTTCCTTTGTATAATGGAGTTGGGAATTTCTTGCACACATACTTCTTTGCAACAAGAGCATATGGCACATGAAGGATTCACTGCAAATGTCTTCCTTCAAAAAATAAACTCAGCAAAAGTGTCTAAAGTGACTGCTTGTTTTATCTGGAATCTTTCCACAATATACAAGGTGTTATGACCTTGCTGTGTTGAACAATTAAAGTATGCCAAATCAGTGCAAAAAAAGGAGTAGTCCTGTAAATTCCAACGTGCCTTTGTGAAACATTTACAGGAAGTAACATCTGAGTTTATTTAAAACAATTTTTAATTTTGTTTGTTGTAGGAGTTGACCTATCCCAAGTGGAAAAACGTCAAAAGGCAGGTCAGCTCTTACTGACCTTGGACTTTGAAAAAGATATAAAAAAAATACTTCTGTTTCTTAAGGATGTGGGTGTAGAAGACAATCAGCTGGGACCATTCCTGACCAAAAATCCATACATCCTTGGTGAAGATCTGGAAGCTTTAGAAACCAGGTAAGACTTTCAAACAGCAGCAGGGTGTTAAGCCCCTTGCATTGAAGATCTGCTTTCCCCTATGGCTTAACCTTGCCTGAATGATCGTGTGTTGCCTCCTGCTTCCTTTCTGACTCAATCCCTGGCTCCTTGTTCTTGTGCCTTCCCATCTGTTGGCACTGACGTGTGGTGATATCATAAGTCAAGTCAACACCTTGATCTGCCTGAAAACTGACCGTTAAAAAATTTTACTGCCCATCCCTATCTCTCTGCCACAGAGGAAGCAGCTTGCCCTCCTAGGCCACTTGCTTTACCTGCATCAGCTTGGATTCCAAAATGTCAGTCCCTGAGGCTTCATAGAAATATATTAACCTCTTTAGTCACGATTTGAAACCACTCTTCTAGATGCTACATCTGCCTTGTAAGTTCTGCAGTAAAAGAAGCAGACCAGATCTCTTCCGTGATGACATCTAATAGCAGCAGAACGTTTTGGCGACACTCTTTTTTCCTGTTGTCCAGCTCAGACTGAACACAAGATTACAATGAACTAATTTCTGTGTGTGTTTTCATTCACACCTTTATGGCCCTACACTGTTCCTCAGTCCCTAAAATGGACTTTTATTCTTAACATTACTTCAAATTCAACAGTTTATTTCAAAAGAACTCGTGTGTGAATGTACATACATTTTTTAATGAATGTATGTACAGAACTTCTCACTATTTAAAAATTCCAGAAAAGAAAGTCTGTCTGCTTGGCTCTTGCATGTCGTAGCTGTCCAAGACAGAAATCTGAAAGTACGGATATTTGGAAACAAGCACATGATCTGGATATATAAGATAGACCTGACTTCTTTTTTCTCTGTTCTTCAAACCTCCTGTTCAGTAAGTGGCCTTTCAGAAACAATATCCAAAGAGAACCTGTATAATTTTTCAGCAGTAGTTTTGAGTCTAGATATCAGAGTTATTTATACTCTGCTGAAAAGAGTATTTTTTTTTGCTATGATAAATATCCTGACACTTCAGTGAAGTCAAATTCGCTTTTCATTGACAGTCCTGTGGCACTGAAAAGCAAATTTGCGAAGTAGGGACTG